TCCTAGTGACCAGGGGCAGTGGTGCATGTGTGTGTGTGTGTGTGTGTGTGTGTGTGTGTGTGTGTGTGTGTACGGTCACTACAGTCAGTTGCTCACCAGGCCGTGCTTGTCCGTCTCTGGCCTTGTTCTCACCGTGTCTGCGTTGCCTCCACCTCCCTGTCCCTGTTGTCTACTCTTCCGCTGCAGATACAGTATTCACTTAAAGGAATAAATAAACATATAAAATAATAAATGGTGCACATTCGTTTTGTACGCCATGCTTTAAAGCCCTGCTTCTCAAGCTGGGGGTGTGACTCTTGGGGGCCAAACAACCCTTTCACAGGGGTCGCCTCAGACCGTCAAGCACAGATATTTACATTATGGCCGTAACAGTAGCACGTTAGTTATGAAGAAGCAATGAAATAATTCTAAGTTGGGGTCACCACGGCATGAGGAACTGTTGTAAAGGGCCGCAGCACCAGGGGAGCTGAGAACCACCGCTCCACAGTCCGCCAGACACCATGGAATGGGGCCGTCAAGCTAATTAACTTCCTGTTACATCACGTGATTCTTCCTTCCTGTGAGGAGAACTTGAGATCCTCACGGCTTCGGTGCTTGCTGCTGCACAGTGGCTCCCTTCATCCCCAGACCCCCCCCAAGTCCCCCCCCTCCCCCCTCCCGGCCCCCGGCCCTGGTTAGCACCGCTGTGCTTCTGAACTTGAGCTCTCCTAGCTTCCAGTGTAAGTAAGATGACAGGACGTCTGCTCCTTGATGCCCTGTCCATCCCCTGGTCAGCGTCTTGTCTGTCACCATAAGTAGCAGAACTTCCTTCTTTTTTAAGGCCGAGAAGAATTCCTGTGTGTGTGTGACAAGATGACAGATTCCTTCTCAGTCACACACAGAAAGCAGAGAGATCGAGAAAGTGAGGAGAGAGGCAAGGCTGCAGCCCTCACAGCTCTCCTCAGTGATCTGCTTCCTCACAGCTCTCCTCGGTGATCTGCTTCCTCACAGCTCTCCTCAGTGATCTGCTTCCTCACAGCTCTCCTCGGTGATCTGCTTCCTCACAGCTCTCCTCGGTGATCTGCTTCCCCACAGCTCTCCTCAGTGATCTGCTTCCCCACAGCTCTCC